GTGGTCTTCATTATTTGTGTGTTCCACACTTGCTAATATTTAATCACCTCTAACACAGAGTTTGATCAAAAGTAGCTTTCCAGTGGCTCTAGTGGAGTTTGTACCAAAATCTGCTTGCATTGCTCTCCAAATTTATTCATTCATGAATTGTGTCTGTGTGGTAATGTTAGGTGGCATGCACAGTTCTCTTCGTTGTAGCTTTTAGCTGTCTAATGTTAAGGTTAATGGTGAGGCTGCGAGGTAAATATTTGTTTCAGTTACAAAAACAAACCAAACAACACTGAAGGCTATAACAGGATTCATCCAGTACCAATTCCCTGTATTTTGCTCCTTCTATCCTCCATAAATTCTGAAATGCTTCCTTGCTTCTGTGTTATAATAGAATATAAATATCCTTTATTGTTCATTAGTGGCAAAATTAAAATGTCCTAGATGTTGTATGAGGTGAATGGAGATATGCAGGTTCACACAGACAAAAAAATATAATGTAAAAAAAAAAAAAAAGAATAGGATGATGTGCAGTATAGTTATATTTTGAAACTATGTGGAAATACTGTGAAAATTGTATAAAAAAGTAAGGAGTATGCAACTAAGCAGGATGACCTAATAAAATGTATTTAAGTATAAAAACACAAAGAATTTTTTTTATAAAAACACAGCTGAGGTATAAACACATTATCTGAAAAGACAAAAAAAAAAAAAATGCTTCCAGAGGGGTACTGCACAGAAATTTTGGGTTTTGTTCAGTGTTTGTTTTTTTGCATAAATTATATTTTACACAGAGACCAGAAAAATTCAAATTTTCTCTCATCATAACAAAGCACCATCTTGGACATGTTTGACAGTTTTTTTGTTGCTTCTTTTTTAATCACAAACTACAAACCAGACCTTCTACCAATAATGGCTTCATACTTGCCTTGCTTTTATAAGTCCAGATTTGTTTGTTAATTATTAAAGGTTATAATATTAATTAATACATCAAATGAGGTGTGGGTATTTGGATATTCTCTTGAGTTTTCATTGGAATGTGAGTATTCTGCAAGGTTAATGAGATTCATTGTAAAGTTCTTGTTCATGTTGTTTATGAAAAAAAAGGTACAACTGAGTTTTAACATAACAGCTTCTCATCCTGAATTTATAGCAAATGTATGAATTACTCTCCAGCAAACAAATGATGCAATCAGTGGTTGTGAAAAGCAAACAGCTGCACTGCTTCTGTTAAGACCCTTCAAACCGAGGCAGGCACTTCACTGTCTTCTCCTATCCCTGAGAATGAAATGCTCTTTGCCAAGCATTTGCACTGAGGGAATATTTTCCCCCCAGTTGGGAAGGCGGTTACTCAGTGACTAAATTCCTTCACTGTGTTTAGAAGGAGAAACATTTAAACGAGGGGGAGAAAGAAAACAATTCATCCTGATTTTAAATAGTTTGCTTTGTCTGCAGAGACAATACATAGAAATCCTCTTTTTTTGACACCACACTGATAGAGTTGAAAAAAAAAAGCTTAAATGTGTAAAGAATAAGTAAAACCATGGTAGAAATGTGGAAATGTAGAAAAGTCTTAAACATGCTGTTCATTTCTACTGAGACATTTTAAGTTATAATCGAAAATTTTGTTTTTTGGAAACATTGTATTGGAGCATTTTCAACAGAAAAATTACCTGCTAATAAAGCATTGAAGTAAAAATATGACTGCAAATTTGTGTAATGATGAGGAAAAGAAACTGACAGTTAAACCTCTTAGGAATTAATGCTGGTTATAAATATGTGTTTATCAACACATCACTGACATTATCCAGGCAGGCTCAAAGATCTATTTATACAGTTTGTAAGCATAAAATTAGACCAGGATATTATTTATATCCTCAATTCCTACTGGAGTCTTTTGTCTGCCAGAAAATATTTTTTAAAAAGATGCTCTCATATAGGTTCTGCTATAAATAGAACAAACTGAAATGGCATCATGCACATGCAGCAATATGATGAAAGGACATATTTGAAGTATAGGGTTGTTGAATGTTTTTCAGTCCTTTGATGTTGCTATGGGTTACGAGTGTAAGTAGAATTTTATTTTAGGAGCACAGAAACTCACCAGAAGGTGCTGGTTCTTCACAACAGTATTTTTCATTTGTTGTGATTCATAATGGTAGAAAAACCACCAAAAGAAAATATTTGAGGAACTCTTACAGAAGAACTTAGGTCCAATGCTCTAAAGCATAAGGGAAAGGTAGATAGGGACAGCAAACAAGATCAGATTTCATTTCAGGGTCAGAATTTGTCTAACTAACAATGAAAATTAATGCAAATACTGAGATTTATAAAATTATGGTTTGTAATATACGAGTTCAAGTGAAGCCAACAAAGTTAAACTGACTTTCTGTTTGGCTGAAGCTTGATAAATAATGCATGCACCTTCAGATGTGTGGAATAACAAAACACTGTATATTTAGCTTTGTGCTACAGTTTAAATGCATAGGAATTTAGGTTTTTGTCTTCTTGCTTCCTCCTGAAATGTGTCTATGTTTAGTTTTTGAGTGAATTCTATGATGAAATAGCATGGTCAGCCAGACTGACAACATGTACAGTAACAGCCATTCAAAATGGCCCTTCTCAGTCAAACGCCAGCCGAATGGCAGCCAACTTTCAGCCACTGGAGTGATCCCCTCTTACTCCTGGGCATGCATATTGTTTTATTCTCACTGAATTACAGCTAAATAGGAGAAGGCACTTCTCTTTAGATCTTAATGTCCACATATCATGACAGAAAGAATTTTTTAGTACAAAGATTGATGTTTAAAAAATGAATCTTAGGGGGGCAGCCAAGGACCAGTCAAGGGCCCATTAAGGGAAGTGGGGAAATTTTGATTGGCTACTACTGTATGTATGTGGTATATGAGTCTCGTAAAGAGCTAGAGTTAGCATCATCATGTTAGAACCAATCACAAAAACTCCAAGCAAGGTATAGTCTGTAACATATGTCAAATATAAGAATAGCCAGTGGAAAAATTGCAGATACATCATTTTTAATAAGAAATGGCACTAAAGCTGTCCTTTGCTGAGGTTTTAAAGTTAGATTGATTTCATTTATGACATCAGAAAAGGCATTGTTACAGTAAAATATTGCTCTACTGTGGTCATATTCATGCTAGCAGAAAGGCGCTGAGCGTAAGGCATTAAAGTCTCTCCTCCCACACTGTGATAGGTCCAGCCAGATTATGCAAATTATCCTCCTTGTAGTTCAGTCTGGCAGTGCCAGGCTAATGATGAAAAGCAAGCAGCAAGTAGTCTTTGGAGGACAAGCACAAAACAATGTTTCCTAATGTTCCTTTCAAATATAAGGTCTTGGTCTGTTTTTAGAATCCTACTAGTTAAGTATGTATGATCTATGACTGTAGATCCTCTACAGTACAGTCACAGAAAAGAGTACCGGTATTAGACCAATCACATTGTTTTTCTCTTATTTTTTTTAATCCTCACGCATGCTTCCTGAAAAATACACTGAGCCAAAAAAAAAAGTTGAAAACAAAGGTGGTCTGATATTTTGTATCCAATGAAAGTAATATTACTAAGAAATAGCCATAGACCTCTTTCACATCCCTGTGAACAGTACAAAGTACATTAACTTGGAGCTAGTTTGTTAAAGGGTGGGGACTGTTTTTATTACAAATTGTGCCAGTTTACAACAGATGCAGTTAGTGTGATTTAGTGTTTAATTTTGAATTTTCATTGACTTTTAAACTGCATCAAGGTCTGAATGTATGTTATTTTAGTCAATATGAAAATAAATACTTAAGGACATTAAACGGGGCAGATGCTTCCTTTTGAGAATTAAATGTCCTTTTTTTTTTTTTTTACAAAATGTACAAAATAGAAAATACCAATGTTTAGCTCTGAGACAGACAGGTGAATGCTTATTACATCAGCTTTTATAAATGCTGGAATTAGTATGATAACCGGGTGTTTGGCAGTTACTGTGCTCTACATGACAGTTAAAAAAAGAAGGAAATTATCAAGCAATCTGTTGCTCAGCTCCTGCTGGCCGATGTAATGAGATCATGACTTTCTTTTTGGTGATCTACTTAATGTGTAAGTAGTGGAAAATTCAGGCATATTTCTTATTCATTAAATGGCTTAGTGAGGGTTTAAATTGTTTCTTATCTTTTTCAGATATTTTTTGCTATTACAGATAAAACATGGCTGTTATATAAATGACTTTGCCTTTTGGAGCTCTTGCAGAAAAAAAATGAAAAATGAAAAGTAGCTATTTTTGCTTTATTTTGCTATATTAAAGAAGCCAGGACCAATTTTATAACATACCACATCTGTTACAGTATAAAAACCCCTTAAGCGTTCTGTTGCATTAGAACCAATTTCATGTGTTTGCCTGCAATTTTAGATGTAGAGACTGGCATAAAATAATGGCCTCTTACAGCCTCGCTGGTTAATGCTCTCCTTGCGTGGCCCTTTAGTTAAGTTATTGGTTTTCCGTTTGAAATAATGATTTGAATAGTGCTTTGTCCTATGGTCGGAGCTTTAGATATTGTTTTAAAGCACAACCTTCTTTACTTGTTTAGCATACTGTGTCCACTAATGTTCCCCTAACAAACCTCTATCTTTATTTTTTATATTTATTTTTAGAATATTCCCTTTTTTGAGTCCTAATTATGCGTTACTGTTCTTCTGTCTAAAACATAAAATCTTAAGGAATTACATTATGGTTAAGGAAATGTTATATTAAAAGTCAACGTTCATCATAGTCAAAAATTCAATTGGAATGAATATTTTTTTAAGGCTGTATGTCAGAGATTGCTTGTTTTTATGGTTTGTGTGAGTGCCTATGGCTAGTGGCAGAATGACTGTTGATGAATTGTATATTGTATATTTTCCTAAGATACCATGAAAACCATGAAATTTGAATTAACTTCATGAAGTTTTGTTGATGTAAGACTGGGCTATTTTAACTGTTGTCAAACTTGCTTTTATCACCCTTTATCCTGCAGGACAATGTGAATCTTCTTCTAACAGAGGAAGAGTTGTACAGTCTGATGGAGACATTCAAACAGTGCAAGATCATCCCAGGTGAGTCAGCAAATATAATGTATTTCAATTTGTTTATTTGACAGGGATTTGTACATTAAAAAGCATTCCTACAAATGCACCAGAATTAGCCAAAATGCTATTTTTCATCTGTTGTCCCTGGATAGATCTTAAAATTGTCTACCTAAAAAAACACAATAGTACGCATTTTACAATGAAAAATACAAATATAAAAAGAAATAAAAACAGCTATAACTTAGGGCTGGGCAGAATTTTTTCACACACTCCGGGGTTTCCATAGACGGGTCACATCGGTTCTTCAGTTAATTTTATTAGATGTGCACATATTACTGATAGACTAGCTTACTGTTTAATACTACTAGCTGCAAACATTTAGCGTGTTTTATTTTCAGTTTTTTTCGATGAGACATGTTTTTTTTACAAGCATGTTTCACAGATTGAACTTGGTTGCACTTTAAATTCAGGTCACCTCCCAGACGGGAGGTGACCTGAATTTTAAATCAAAGCTTATTTTTGACAGTATTGTTAAATGATATTTATAGGGGGAAAAAAATCTTTGATTTATTGGATTTCGTAGGACAAAAATCAAGAGATTATATTTTTAGGTCAAATCGCCTAGGCCTAGAATCCTGGGGTCCTTGCTTAACAAGTTAAGCTAGTGAATAAATTTATATTCAAGATATAGCAATATTTATTCAATTTTAGTTCTCAACATTTGGAACAGTTTCCTTACACTAGCTCCTTGTAGCTCAGAGAATAAAATGTATTTTTCTGATTTTAAATGAATAGATTAAGTCCAAAATATATGACAGATCTGTTATCAGAAGTATCAACCTTCTAAATCACTGAGGTCTTCTAGTTCCAGCCTACTCTGTACCCCCAGAACTAGAACCAAACATGGAGAAGCAGCATTTAGGTCCTATCCTCTGCTTATCTGGAACAAACTCCAAGAAATTTGTTAAAATGCTGAAAGCCTGAGTTATTTTACGTCAAACTTAAAAACCCATTTGTTTAGACCTACCTTTGACTATTGAACTTAAACTAACTGAGGTATCATTAGTTTAATGTTGTGGTCCAACTGCTTTGTTTGTTTTACTAACTGATTTTATTATGTTTTAAGCTTTTTTTGCTTTTCTTCAGCTTTTATTTTATTATTTTTTTTCAGTTTTATTGTTTAATTAATGTAAAGCACTTTAAATTGTAATTGTACTGAACAGTTCTATACAAATAAACTTGCCTTTCCTGTTAGTGGTTGTTTTCATGCTACGATAAACCCAAAAAATGTTTTATATATATTTTTTATATTCCCATTGCCTCTACTAAATCTCATTAGCTGTTAAACAAAACAACTTAAAATAAAACATTTCTAAATGTTATTATCTAGCACTTAACTACTAATCATGTATTCTCTTAGTGCAGATTACCAAATGAAAATTTGAACCTGTTTTCTTCAAAGTACAAACTTTTCTTAGACCTAGATTTTTTTCAGTCTCTGCAGGATGACAGGGATAGGTGGTCCCATATTCTCTGTAGATGAGTCATCCTAAACTAATTATATCTAGAAGATCAGTGGGTGACTAATTTACTCTGATGTGATGAATTGCTCCTTGCCGTTGTAGAGTCATGCCTGGTGTCAGATGAGCTGCTGCAGTACCGCCACTTTGTATCCAAGCAGCAGTTTGATAAGGACCTGAGTGATGAACAAGAGGAGGAGGTTTTGGCCCAGTTTGCCTCTCTGGATCCAGAGAAGCAGGGTCAGATCGAATGGTCAGACTTTCTCTACTTTGAGTCTCTGGCTGTTTTGAGGAAGTTCCGGACAGAGGTATAGTATTTGGATGGTAGAAAAAAGTTGTTTGGTATTTAAAGAGTGAAAGGGTCAAAAACCTTTGTGTGTAACAGTCCAGATGTGTGTCTTTCACAAAAGCACACTCTAAAAAGTGTTATGGAAAAAAGAAAGTTTGCAGCATTTATTCGGTTGCTGACTTTATTCCAGCGCCTAATTTGTCTTGACTTTATCATCACTGATAACAACAGACTGGATTTGACTTTCGGGCAATGATTAATTTTGTATTTCATAATTTGTTTTTCTCTGCAGTAGCATGGGGTAAAGCAGTGCTTGCAGATTATGTTGGTCAATGTTAATATGACTGAAATGTTTGGGACTTCCAACAATATTAAAATAACTTGAATCATTTCTGTTTATGGACTTTATATGATCAATATAAGCAAGAACATATAGTGTTATAGTTCACTGACTTCTAACAAATAATGACAGAGATTTTCTAATATTTATTTCAGAACTCACTTGTGCGTCTGTTGACTGCAAAGGAAAGAGACAAGGCAAGATCGGTTTTCCAAGGACTGGTCACAGATAAAGATGGTATGATCACAAGAGCAGAATGCCGCCAGGCCCAGCAGTCCTGGTTCCACAAACTTAAAGATCCTCAGTCTTGCAATGTCAGGTGAGGACACAAATGCGTCACTAAAAAAAGGCAGCAGTTTGGGGAGTCCGGATCTCATTTGCATGCAGACAGCAGATGGTGGGGCTATTAAAAAAGGATGGACTGCTTAAGGAATAGAGACAAACATGGAGAGAAGGAAACAGTTGTTATATATGCTTCATGAAGTGAATCTAAGTCATGAACATTGTCCATTTTTCCTTTTGTGCTCTTAACACACCGAAACAACTACTTTGCTCATCAATAAACAGAGGACTTTATAAAACACATATTAAGTTTAGCTTATTGATTTAAGAATCATTTATTTCATTCATCCAAATAAAATATTAATTCTGCATGTTTAGTCAATAACATTTGGCATTAACATATTTCCCACTAAGTTTCATTACCTCTTTTTTTTCACACTTTAAATCAGTAAACCAATTGACTTAACTAGCCTGCATTTTGGTTTCATTTAGGTGTTTGTGTGTGTCTCTCATCTAACGGCCCTTAAGGACATCTGAATAATAAGTAAGCTGACAATTCTGGTTGCCTTGAAGTGCAGAATGAGATCATTCTCACAACACTGCAGTTCAATAATTGAAAAAAGGGGAAAAAAAGTAATTGCTAAGGCTTTTTCCAAATGCAACCAACTTAATTTATTTAAACAAACAAGCTGAGCATTATTTAAAAGTTGGATGGCTTTTCAATTTAGAAATTAAAAGTACTGTGTATGCAGCTGATGAGTAATTAGGCTTTGAAATTATGTAGATATGAACAAATAACCTGAAAATATCTTATTAGAAGGAATGACAGACAAATATTTTAATAAAAAATCCCTTTAAAGTCTCAGTGTTGTAAGGTAATCTTTGAGGAGAAACTGGATTACCGTAGCAGCCATTCAAAATGGCCCTTCCCAGTCAAACGGCAGCCGAATGGTAGCAAAATCCCCTCCAACTTCCAACCACTGGCCTTCTCCTGGGCGTGCTTTTTTTTTTTTACTCTGACTCCACCCTTTTACTGAATTACAGGGTCTGACCAGGAGATAACATTTCTCTTTAGATCTTAATTTCCAGAAATCATGACAGAAAGCATATTTTAGTACAAAGGACCAACTAAGGGCCCATCAAGGAAAGTGGGGAAATTTTTAATGGCTACTAGAGTATATGAGATTCTAAATTTGTAATTCTTTTCACAGTGTAAAAACAGTCGAGTCACAGAATCCAAAGGTGTCCAAATCCACTAATCCTCCTGACCCCTTCAAATATGGCTGGGAGGATGGGTGTTTTTTTTGGTCCATAATTTCACATGATTTAGTGTGGGTCGAAGTAAATTGGGTAACAATGGCAGATGATGCTGAAAAAAATTGTGAATAAATAACAAAACAAAAAAATATACTTTCTATGACCTAAAATAAACTTTTAAGGAATTGTCTTTTATTCTTATTGTTTTATTCTTAAATATCTGCTTGTTTTTTGAGTCCATCTACTTTAAGGTTCAGCATTTAATGGTGTCAGCTCACTTCTGCAGGTGTTCACAGTCCTCCGCCCCCATCCTAGAAAAGGCGCTTGATTCTCAGCTCCCCTTGCTGATCCTACATTACAACTGGGCTTAACTTATAGATGGAAGTTAAACACAGAACTTTTTTAAATAATATGGAATCATAATTTTTTTTTTGCTTCATAAACTCTCTTAATACTCAGTAAATATTGGCTGATATTAAGTTTAAGCTTCAAAACTAGATAATATTATTTAACTCTATTGGCGGTTTATGAGGAGATGAGTAATTAGCTCATCTTCACATGCCTGCAGCCATGGTATTAATGCTGCTTTTCTTAGATCAAGTAAAAAAAAATCTGAGCAAACAGCCAGGATCGAGTCAAAAATATTTAATTTATTCTCAGTATTTTGAATTGAAAAAAAACCTTTATGTTAATCTTATTGTTTTTGCCCGACACCTTCTACACATCATTTAATCATATTCCTTTCTAAATTCTAAAATAGTATATATAAAGCTTCCAAAAAAAAAAACCTTTTATATTTTTTAAGGCAATTGGATGGAAATTGCCTTAAAAAATGGAAAATGGACCTGTTGGTCGGATTTGGATCATTTCTAAACTTATACACCTAAAAAAAATCATTAACTTAAATGCTGAAAACTGATGAACAGATGAGCAACATTTGTTCTTCCATTATTAATATCAGATTCTGAAGAGGCAAAGCAGCCCCACACTGTCTGAACATTATTCTTGAGGCACAATGCTATTTTTCCACTTCGTATTTTCAGAGGTCTGAAGGATTGTTCAGATAATTTATAGGCTTTGTGTTCTTTTTGATCTTGAAACTCCCTTGTTAATACTAGTGTTATTATACCCTGTTCAAGGAGTTAAATCCCAAACAGTTACTGTAGCTAAGGTAAATCCTGTGTTTTAGTTCTGGTTCATGATTCTTCTGTGACCTCTGTTGAAGTAATTCTAGGAGACTGAGTACTCCTGAAAAGGATAATCACTACTTCATGTTTTCTCTGTATGTAAAACACAGCTCTCTCTGCAGTTTATCAGCATAAAAGGAAAAACAGATCAATTCTGTAAGACATTTAATATTTTTTCACATTTGATGATTTACTTGCTACAGTATTTTGTAACACCTTAAAAATCCAAATGCACTAGATGTTCTAAAACATATTAATTTCATATGAAGGCCAGGTAATTGATAAATATACCCCAATCATTGAAATTTGACGTCCATAGTGTGATATGTGTCCATTCATCATCAGCAACATCTAATAGAGTGTGCATGGGCATTGTTTTCTAACTCTTTACCTTTTGTGATGGTGCTGTCACATCTCTTGTGCTCTACCATTCCACATTCCTCTCACCTATTCCTAACAGACTCATGGGATTCTGCTCTCCTATCACTTGTGGGTGAGTGTGACTCAGCACTGCATGGCTTGTGTTGTTTTCCTCACTTTTCCAGCCCTCATCACTTTCAAGTAGAAGAGATCCCTCTTAGATCCAACTGATACTCTTTTTAGTGATAAATCAATCAGAGGCATACATCATGGGCAATTAAGTGTAATGAGCAGAATGCAAGCTCTATAAATCCTTGGCTGATGCTACACAAGGTAAGGATCAGATTTAAGAAGGCTTCTAAGCTTGGGGATTAAAAAAAATGGTTTTGTGTTTCATTTTACGTAAGCGTTTTTTTAGGCTGTTCTGAGAAGACAACAGATGGAAATCAGTATCTCATCTGAAATAAATGTAACATATAACGCAGTCTTAGTCTTGCTCAGAGTATTTCAATGATTTCTTTTTATTTTCATTACAAAAAGTGCCATTCAAAGAGATGAGCAAATAAAGCCTCTTTTCCAATGAAAATAGTGTGCTAACGCAAGTTTTTCAAACATGGGTTGACCCGCTAACAGTCAGCATTTGGGTCGCTTCCCACTGGAAAAAAAGCTGGGCCTAACCCCTCACTTGCGAGATGCTTTGCCTCTGTTCCCGCACAGTTACGTGTTAGGTGACACCATCACCCTCGGTTAGTGTTGGTGATGTCACTAGTGGAACATGAATCAGGAAAGTAAACAATGGAGAGCAATGTGTAAGGAAGCAAGAGCATAGTAAAGGCCAATTTATACTTCTGACGCATAGCCTCTGCAACTGTCACATCTGTCTCTCTGTGCGACCACGCATCCTGCGCAGAGGTTCTGCAACTGTTGCTGTGCACCTCAAAAAAATCCTGACTACGCGTCAGACGGTCGCAAACCCATGCAGAGTGCGCAGACAAAAAGCAGCTGTGAATGGTCCTTGGTATGCCTTTCTGGCTGTCTGTGTGATCGTCCTTCTCGATTTGGTGCTGGGGCTTGCCATTTTTAAAAACCGAGGAGTAATAACAACAATGGATAACCACAACAAAAGGTTGATTGAGGAGGTTTGGAAGTACAACCACTTGTACAATGCCTCACACATGTTGTTTTGGAAAATTAACACTCCTGCCAGCGTCGTCGAAGAAGTTCTCGTGAGTTCTCGAATAGGCTCCCCCTAACGCATTGGCTGGAAACTGCTGTCTATCCCTTGAAAATTCAGACCGACGTTGCAGAAGCATACCAGCAAAACTGGGTCACGACCAGACGCAAGCGACATTTGATTATGTGCCGTTGCAGAAGTATAATCCGCCCTTAAGTGTGTTTTATTGTTTTGCTCTTTCATCTGTCTCAAACACTCTTACCAGTGCTGCGCCATTTTTATTGAATGTAAGATTGTTTCAGCTTGTTAGATCAGAAACAACTGGCATGGTGTGTTGACAACAGTACGTTGTGCTCAATGGTATCACATAATTTAGTGGGTCAACCCGGTTCTGGTCTTCCCACATCATAGCGGAGACAATTTTAATGCGGTTCGCTGGTCGAGTCGTTTCACCCAGGTAGAAACATGTCAGTGAGCCGTGCCCACTAAAAGCTGGTTGTCCCCGGGTTTAAACTGTTTTTTTCACCAGTGGGAAAGGGGTATAATATAACCCATGACTTGCAGCACGTCCAAAGTAACAACACTTTATAAAAAGTGGATTTCCAAATAATCACTGTTTTATATTCTATAAAAAATATAAATCACTTTTTGAGAAGAAGTGATAAGTGATAAAACTTTGATCTGTGCCATTTTATTTAACTCTGGCTCAATATTTAGTTGATTTACATGCTGGGAGCTGAACTTTCACCCTAAACTGATTCCTTTCAACTCTGAGTACAGTAGCTTCTTGAGCCTTTGAAAAAAAAGTCCATGCCATGATGCCACACAAAACTTTTTTATGACAAATAGATGGTCTGTTATATAACATGATGTTTGGTGTGGCTTTCATTCAACAACTTTTTATCCCATTAAAGAATATATTTTCAGCAGTCAATCTCTGCAGCTCATCCAAAGTTGCCAAAGGTCTTATGGCTTCTTCTCTGGTTTTGAGGTCCTTTCCAACAATCAGCTACTTTAGGTTCCTTCATTACTTACTTCAACGCATCCATCACTTCTCTTTCTGGGTCACAGGAAGCTTGGATCTATATCCAGCAGGTTTCAGAAACAGGGAAAGTTCACCATGGACAAGTTGCCTGTTAATTAAAGGGCAACACAGAGAAACACAATGAGGAACATCTAATGGCAATTTAGAGGCACCAATCAACCTCATAGTTATGTTTTTGGACTGTGGGAGGAAGCCAGAGTAACTCAGAACCATCTTGCTGCAAGGCAGCAGTGGTACAAACTTTGCCACAATTCAGCCTTGCTTTTCTTTCATGATTTACTCAGATAACAAAATATACTTGAGTTTATGGCTGTGATAAAGAAAAAAATTAAAAAGATTAATAAATTTTCCTCTCTGTCTTAGCATAAGTCACGTTGGCCCAATATGTGAGAGCAGTCCAGCCAGCTCTGGGAGCGAAAGAAGCAAGACAGACGAAAACAGGTTTGTACTTTTTTTCTGAACAAAACATTGACGGGAAACAATAGACTTCGAAAAATTCTTAAACACTCTGCTTAATTGGGTGATGCACCCCTGTGGAAGATGGAATTTTTTATTCAAAATGGTAAAAAGCTGCCTGCAGAAGGATAGAGTCGACCAACTGCAGCAGTGAGTTATCCTGTGCAAACGTGGCAACAGTGGAAAGAAACAACTCTGTTTTAACAATAAGAAAACCTATGATACAACTAGACTCATGACGAACATGCATACATTTTCACAACTGAAGATTTCCAAATAACATCGTACAGTGATCTATGACTCACATTACTGTTTGATCTCTGCAGCTGACTGAGAGGCAGGGGAGCTTTGCAGCTTTCTCACTGAACCGAAATAAACTTACATCTTACTCCGATAACATAGCTCTCTTGTGTTTTTAAAGGTTTTGTTGACATAAAAGAAAAAAAATCCCTAGTTTTACACAATTTATTTAAACCAATGAAATAGCAGCTTTCTACTCTATATTTTGTGCTAAAGAAACAAGTTAAATCTACATTTATAACTTTTAATGTGTGAGTAGAATGAATAGTTCATTAGATATTAAACATTTTGCTTTCTTGTCTTCAATAGGCTATTGAGCTGGGCAGACTTTTTGAGGGAAAGTGCCATCTACATTTTGGCAGCCCGTCCTAACAGCTCTGCCATGCACATCCGGATGCCTTTATAGTCCAAGATCCTCCACTGCAGCCTGCAGAGAGAGGAAGACAGATGTCCATGGATGAACAGCAGGAAAAGATTAACATGCTGACATGTTGTCATGAAGAATGAAACTGAGGAACCAGGTTAAAGCATCAAGAAGTAGAGAATGAAGCAATCAACTCTCCTCTCCAGTGTCACTTCAGCACAAGAAGACAGACAACTCAAGCTTGTGTGATACACAGACACCTCAAGTGGTAACAGCTGTCATAACTCCAAACCTCAACAGTTTTCAAAATGTGTAAGAGATTCTATGGGAGGGACAGTCGCCCTCTTCGTGATTAGCCGTTTTGTGATATTTCTGATACTTTGGGTATCGTCACAATGAAACAAGAAGCCAGGATGCTAAAAGTGGCATAAAGCCATAGGCGTTACATAACACACATTTCTGAGTGGGTTCATTGGTGTGATAAGCTGTAACTCTTCATTACTTTGAGCTTTATCATGTGTTAATGATAAACACATGACATTGTTGGATTTTCAGTTAAGCATCAGAACACCTGGTGAATTAATGCTATTCACATACAATAAAAGCCAATTGCTACACGCACTGATATAAATTATTATTCATTAAACGCCGTATTTATTCCTATATCATTAGATGAATCTTCTGTTTATCCCAGTTTCATCCAAGAATATGTGTTCTTCTCAAATACTAACTGTGAAAAAGATGTGAACATTAATGAAATCTAACCTTGTAAGTGATATGTATGTAAATGTATATACTGCCATATAGTCCAATTGCTTCTGTTGTGCTCTCAGAGCTGCACTATGACAAGTAAAAAACATTGCTTATTTTGTTCTAATCACAATATTTGCACCGTGAGAATGACATAAAATGTAATCATTATCTGACATAATCACCATAATGAGAGACTGACAGAAAGTCAGAGCTGAGAAGGAAAAGGTTTTGTTTTCCTAAGAGGCACAGCTATTGTGAATAAGATGTCTGGAAGAAAAAAAAAACATAAAGGACTTATGAGGAAGAGTGTAAATGAGACGTCCCTTTAAAGCACTGAAATATTTGACATTATGTAGTGTCTATTAAGGTTGTATGTCATGCTCTTTTAACGAATAAAGTATAGAAATAAAATAAAGTTCTTGGTTAAAGAGATATGTCACAGTGTGACAATAAACACTTGGCATTTAAACTTTGCTCTGTGTCCAGTATTCTTTTCATACATAATATTAACTATTCAGCCATTGTGAGGAGTTTTGCAGGGTGTCTGGAGCCTAATACATTTCCAGCCAATCACTGGGCAGAAGGAGATAATATCAAATCACAGTAAAGTATCATATTATATAGAATGTCATATAAAATATTATACAGGATAATATAATAATACAACATCTAAATATTTTGTGACATGACAATGTACATTACCTTTTATATATGTCTTTAATGTCTTATTTTCCTTTCTTTAAAACAGTAACAGTCCTCAGTAAATGGTTACCCTTTTGCAAATGACAGCTGACTGCATTTAAGTGTATCAAAGTAATTGGGCGAACATATAATTTGATGTCTTTAGAAAAAACGGAAAATCTTGAGTGTTTTTTCCTTAGACATTGAAGTAAATTTTAAAATCCAATCATCCTAATTATAAAGTTTGTGGTTAAAAAATAAAGTGCGGTTACCTTTGGAGACCCTGTTTGAATTGGATTTACTCTCCACTTTGACCACCATATTAAATTGTTAATCCCATTAAATTAAATCCTTTCAGACTGAAAATAATTATATAATTTTGATTTTGATTTTATGCAACTTAGGGTAGTCAGAATTAGAAAAATCTTTCTAAATAGTATTTTAAAGTACAAGGAATTTGTTTTGATGTTGATTTAGGTTCTACACAAGGACATTTCTATCTATTTTATCTAAAAAGTTTAAGATGTTTACACTAAGTTATGCGATTTGTTTCTGTTTTAACAGTCTGTTAACAAGCATGGTTACTTGAGAACAGGCAGATAGTCCCAACAACATTCTTTGAGGATTGTAAACCCTGCATTTACAGTTACAACATGTAAGTTTCAGGCTGACAGAAAATGTTGATTTTCATTAACTTTACCGATTTGGTTTTGTTCAGAACTTTCTCAGAGTGTCAGATGAATCCCTTGTTTCTCATGAAATGCAGTTCTATCATACTAGAAGCTGTTTTTGGTTCTTTGTGAAACATCTTTTGAATAGCTGGGCCGAGTTGCTGTTGGAGTGTGATCTAACTCTAAATTTTGCAATATTTAGGGCCAATTTTGTGAGTAAACCATATACTTTAAACGATATGGAAGCTTAACTGTCAACATGATAGAGGCAAGTTTTTCTTCTCTAGACAGTCTTATGGGGTCATCAATGGAAAGAGGAAACAAAAATCTGCTGTTCAGTCCATTCTGTGTTGTTTATTTAAATAAATTCCTGAACAATCTTTATTTCAATCCAAACTAAATCTTTTCACTGAATCCCACCTAACAGTGAGTGCTGGCACTTGTAGGAGCCCCTAAGGATGCTTAACAGCAGTTGAACATTTATCCTTTGCAGTGTTTTTCACCTCTGCTCCTCAAGACACTCTGTCTTGCATGTTTAAGTTGTTTTCCTTATTCAACACACCTGATTCAGATGGCTGCAGTTTGGAAAAGTACTCCGCTAACAATTGATAACAGGTGTGTAAAAAACTGAGAAACATCTAAAAAACAAGCATGCAGAGCAATGTGCCTTGAGGACCAGGGTTGAAAAACATTGTGTTATTTCATAGATTGTTGTTTAGTCTTAACCAAGTGGTTATATCCTGGCTGTAGAAGGACTTTTGATACTAGTGATGAAGACAGTAGGTAACCATAACTGATATAAGAAAACCATTAAAAACCATTCCCTTTTATAGCAACTACTCTACTCTAATTGAATCAGGCTGACAGATGATCTGTTCTTGTAAACACTGCCCTTACCCAACCTTAGGTTCATAGACATGATGAAAGCTGTCAGTTTATGATTGAGTTATGTTTTCATGATTAAAGTTTCATTAACTTCCATGACCCCTATAATTAAATTCTAGCACATTGTTTTTTATACTGTAGCAACGTTTATTCTAATTGCCACAATAAAAAAGTAACAGCAAAGTTTGAAAAGAAAAAAAAAAAAAAAGAAATTGCCACCGTAAACATATTCCTTATGGGACCAACAATGTTTAATTTTCACCAGGTGTCGACAATAACCCAAGTAACCCATAGATTGAAAAATAATAACAGAAAAGTATTTCACAAACCTACTGATATTTATTTAGAACATTGTATAAAAGACTTGTTTGTTAACTACAGCTTCAAGATGACTTTTGTATGGGAAAAATAGTCATATGCATCTCTCAGGTGGGATTTTGATCCATTCTTACTCACAAAGAAAAATTCAAATCTTGAAGGTTCTGTTGGCCTCTTTTATTTAATTGGATTGATATCAGGGGATTGACAGAGCTGAAGACGGGTGAGAGTTTCCTTGGTTCTGTTTGGGGTCGTCCTGCTGAAATTTCATCATTTCAGATTTCATCATTATAATTCTAGATGGACTATATAATAAGGGTGTTCCCAATTCCTCATACCGAGAACAGTAGACTTTACCCATCGAAAGCAATTCTTGGTCAAAACACTTCCTGTCACAAGTCTGCTGAAGAAACATCTAAAAAGTTTTAGCATCAAATGAAGAAAGAACACGAAACTGAGAAATAGACCCAATTGAGCATCAGATGATGACTGTGCCTATTGAAGATAAAGAAATGTGCTTTTCACGTGAGCCAATTTGATACCATGTTTCGAATAGGAATATACACCATCATCTCTAACGTTAACAATATAACTCCATGTTTTTACCTTTACAGATTGACCATGTTTTTACTTAAATCACTCATGTGTTTCCTAATATTACTTACTTGTCTTTGAAAATTATTTAGGTATTCAAAACTACTGTACAGCAGTTAGATAACTTTGGAAAAGTTAATAAATCCAGCAGAAAGTGAACTACCTCACCTAAATATTTCTCAAACAGAAAAATAGATTAATAGTCTGAGGGTGAAAGTTTCATAGCTCTATACCTTTAATAGGTCTAAAGCATATTCATGGGTAAAAAGCTGTATGCCACGAGGCTAACTTAGACTTGGTCAAAGTAGGCTAAGGCACACCAGGAAGAAAAAAATAAATCCTTGTTCTTGTAGTGGAACGCTCTTCTGATAAAAAAAAAAGGGACAAAGGAAGCTACATGGTTTGAGTATAATCTCAAAGTTAAGGTCACAATGTAGAGAATGAGCCTAGACATGCAGACTGTGTGGGAGTAAAAAACTTTGAATGGGCATATTATGTAATCGTTTCATAACAAATTCAATTTCTGTCCTCTTGACCATTCTAATTGCTGCACAAAATATTTGGTCAAATGTTAAGGAGGCTGGTTATTCAACCAAACTAGAAACTGAAAAATACCATCAAAAAAGAAAAACAACTTCCTGAAATCCCAGTTATGTGGTTTGGCATTTTTCATCTTATGATTCGACTGTAAGGCATTTTTTCAAAGAAAGCTTTTCAAAGAAAGCTTTTGGCAGTGAAAATAATCACTCCGTTTCTTCTTGCTTCTTCTTTTTGGATTCACAAAAAGAAAACTGCTTTTTTTATAGGGTACAAAATACTGTATATGGATCAAATCAAGGATCTTAGTGGCTGGCAGATATCTTGCCGTTTTTATGCCATTACAGCTTTTTGACCCCCGTTCACAACTCATAAGCGAACTTTGCTTTGGCTTTGGAGAAAAATGTTCAGCCATCTGCACTGTGTAAATTAAATGCATGATCATCTTTCTCGTTTTTCTTTAACATTTCAGTTAAACAACTTTGTGGCTCCACCATGGTAAAAAAAAAAAAATCTCAAATGGTGTGAACGCTGATTAAAGAAAGTGACATTTTTCAGCATGGTTCTTGTGTCACCATTACTAACTGCTTTTATGCAAATTAAAATAGGAACTTATACTGTCGTCCCTCTGCACCCCCATCACCAGATTTTAAGCAGCCCCCCGCAATGCGCAAACACAGAAGTGTGTCTAAACCTTCTCTGTTTATCTCTTACTTACAAACCCCATGGTTTCTGCAGCTGAGGCGAGCCAATTACAGCAACACTTTTCCACAGAATTCATCTTTGGTATCTTCAGACAAAGTTCATTTAATGACATTCAACAAAAAGTACTGTAAAGGTGTGCATAAAAAAGACAAATGCAAATAGATTTAAATATATATATATATATATATATATATATATATATATATATATATATATATATATATATATATATACATATATATATATATATATATATATATATATATATATATATATATATATATATATATATATATATATATATATATATATATATATATATATATATGTATAAATGCAAGAAATAAAGTTGTATTTGAAAAAAAGGCATAAAGGCAGTGAAGAAAAAAAAAAGTCTCTGAATTTGAACACCCGCTGTGGATAGAAATCTGTGTACAGCAATCAACTGTGTCCATGCCAATAATTGGGTCTCGGTCCACTGTTAAGTGTTAGGATCAGACCCTGAGGAAGACTTCGCTTCTCCAGACTTTTCAAAAGATAAAATTCCTATAAAAAATATATTATTTTTTAAAGAAAGAAAGAAAAAAAAATCAGCTCCTAATTATCAACTTTTTACACAAGCTTGTGTCCAGAATCTTGCTGCTTTTAGGAGTAAACAGTTGGTAGAAAATGAATGTGGTGGAGTTGTAAAATTTTGTAGGAGATAGAAAACAAAGAATTTTTTTTTTTTCTAGTTATCACTGTGAGCATGAATTTGCTGATAAAGAATTCTATTGATTTTGTAAGACCAAAAGATTCAACCTAAGCATTAGCTGCTTTGCAATCAGATTTCAAATGCATAATCTGGTAGAGGAAGGCATAAACTACAAGCTTTTAAACTTAAATGGGCTGAATTCAAGAAAAAAAAAATCTTTCCACGTTTTCATTTTTCAAATAAAAAATTATCTTTTTTGTTGTCTTCTGCTTTACAATTAAGCACAACTTATTGTTGGCATATCACACAAATGCCATATAAAATAATTTGTCTAACTTTAAAGGTGATGTTAATGAAAGGATGCTCTTCTCAGGCATGAATTACTACTAATTCTTTACACGCTTTAATCAGTAAATGAATATCCTTCTATAAATAAAAATGAAAATATTAAAATGTACAGCGCTTGAACTATGCTGCCATCTAGTGTTAGTTGAGCATAATTGCGTCTAGTACCTGAACGCCTTCATATTCATGACACACTACCCTACTGCAAATAAACAGCTTTTATTAGAGTTGGGGAAATTTTTTATATCAATACTTTTGCACAGATGTGACGTATTGATAAAGGATGTTTATGTTCGCTCAGAAGCTGTTAGAATTTCCGTTAGATCGTGTGCGCATGCGCAGATGGGGGGCGTATTTGTTTAGCTTGACCCCTTTTTTTTTTTTTTTACTGTTATGCTTTTAGTAATCATCGAAATGGAGCCAGTGAAACGCCAGCAGGTGCGACGGTTCTGAGGTAAAACCTTAAACGCTTCAGTTGCATATTTAATGGCTGTTTCTGTCCGTGTTGTTTTGGTTGTAGCCGTTTGTTCAGAAGCTGCAGTGTTTAAAGCAGCCTCTGATGGAGGCAGACCCCTTCAGTCCAACACCTAACGTTAGCTTTCACCTCCTGTGGCCTGCTGTCTTCCAGGAAGCGCTTTACGTTTGATAGAATTAAGAGATAAAAATCAGCTGTAACTCCACTTTAGCTGTAAACACTGCTTGAAACAATTCAAATGGAGTTCTTTTGCTGAAACATAATCCTGGCTGAGAAATTAGCTATTTTAGACCTGAGTTGATTGAACAGAACAATATTGGGTTATATTTTTATAAATATCACTAATTATAAGGTAAATAAAAGACAGCAGCCTCCTGTTGTGTAATAAAACGTTTATTAATGCGCTATGCAACAACCATTACCATTTGCATACATAAATATTATATATATATATATATATATATATATATATATATATATATATATATATATATATATATATATATATATATATATATTAAAAAAAAACTGTTTTCTCACCCCTCGTGGGGTGGTATGTGTCATCCTCAAGCTCGGGTCCTCTACCAGAGGCCTGGGAGTTTGCGGGTTCTGCGCAGTATCTTAGCTGTTCCTAGGACTGCGCTCTTCTGGACAGAGACCTCTGATGTTTTACCTGGAATCTGCTGTAGCCACTCTCCCAGTTTGGGGGTCACAGCCCCTAGTGCTCCAATTACCACTGGCACCACTGCTGCTCTTACTTTCCACATCTTTTCTAGCTCCTCCTTCAGTCCTTGGTATTTCTCAAGCTTCTCGTGTTCTTTCTTCTTGATGTTGCTGTCGCTTGGGATTGCCACATCTATCACTACTGCCTTCTTCTGCTGTTTGTTGATCAACACGATGTCTGGTTGGTTAGCCATCACCTGTTTGTCAGTCTGGATCTTGAAGTCCCATAGGATCTTAGCTCGGTCATTCTCAACTACCTTAGGAGGTGTCTTCCATTTTGACCTTGGGACTTTCAGCCCATACTCATGGCAGATGTTCCTGTACACTATGACAGCTACCTGGTTGTGGCGTTCCATGTATGCACTTCCTGCCTGCATTTTACACCCCGCTGTTATGTGCTGTATTGTTTCAGGGGCATCTTTGCACAGTCTGCATCGGGGGTCCTGCCTGGAGTGGTAGACCCTGGCCTCTATTGATCTTGTACTGAGTGCCTGTTCTTGTGCTGCCATGATTAGTGCCTCTGTGCTGTCCTTCAGTCCAGCCTTTTCCAGCCACTGGTAGGATTTTTTGATGTCAGCCACTTCTTCTATTTGTCTGTGGTATACGCCGTGCAGCGGCTTGTCCCTCCATGATGGTTCTCCTTCCTCTTTCTTGTCCTCACTTTCGGTTTTCTCCTGCCTGAGGTACTCACCAAGCCATTTGTCTTTGGGGGCCATCTTTCTGATGTACTCCTGGATCTTAGTTGTTTCATCCTGGACAGTGGTCTTGACACTCACTGGCCCTCTGCCTCCCTCGTTACGCTTGGTGTACAGTCTCAGAGTGCTGGATTTGGGGTGGAACCCTCCATGCATTGTGAGGATCTTATATATATATATATATATATATATATATATATATATATATATATATATATATATATATATATATATATATATATATATATATATATATATATACACATTTCCTTCTGAGGTGGTTTTAAATCTAAAGCTACCACAAAATTAAAAAAAAGTATATTTAGAGAACATAATTTCTGATGCAATACATTGCAAAGTTCATAACGCTTGTTTCTTGTCCTTCTGTGGTGAAATGTTACACAGTTAAATCACATAAAGCTTAATAAAGCTGTTATAATACCTATCTGCAAAATACCCCAACTCTCTTTATTTTGACTTAATGATTGATTCTTTGGTCAGATATGAAGTAAGAATTAATCTATCAGCAAATAGGTCAAATTAAGAAAACAGCCATGTAACATTAACGTTATTATAGAGCCACATTTCATGATCTTATTGTTTTCTACCAGGCTGAAGTGATTCAGGTAACTGGGAAGCAGGAAATGGAGGTCCCTTTTCAGTAATTCATCAAATTGGGTTATTTTTTGTTTGTTTTTCCAAATTAATATATTCCCTATTTTTTCCCTAATGTTTCAGTCACCACCATTAAGACTATTTGAGTTAAAAACAAGCAATTCAGGATTAAGAGGAAAAGCAGCCCCCTTCTACTGCTTATGAAATGAACTTGATTAATAGAAGTTAAGTGGAAGAGGCCACCACCTTAACACTAGCAATTTGGGTTGTTTGTTGAGGATTTTAAGATGGATTAACTGATTCTGTTTATCAGTCTGGGAAAGGTTATAAGGTTATGGTCAAATTTGAAGTCTTGTATTCCTTAGAGAAAAATGTTGTTCTCAAGTGGGAAATGTTCAAAGAAGCAGAAATTTCCTTTGAGGAGCTGATGTGCCAAAAACTTCTCCCAAAAGCTAGATTGTAAAATGCCAAACCCCCAGGAGCTCCTCATCAAGTTCTATCGGCCTAATTCCACATGGTAAATTATAAAGTTCCTGGCAGAACGATTAAAAAAAGACTTAACTAGTATGGCTTGTTTGGAAAGGAGAAAGACTTCTCTCATTATAGCATGACTCTGCTTTGCAGAGTGGTTACTCAATAAACCACCTACACTTAGGATAAATACCCTCTTAGAAAGATGAGAACAAAGATGAAATTTGTATTCAGAACCGACGGCCGCCTGTTCGTGAGAAATCAAATGCATCATATGAGCAAAAAAAAAAGTTGGGAGCTGAAGATTTGGGTTTTAATTTTGCAGCCCTAGGACCTGTGCACGGTTTAGTCATTAAGTTGATTAAAGCATCATCTGCTTACCAAACTTTTTTATAGTTGAAGGTGTGTCCATCTGTCTGACATCTAAAGCTTTTCCCCGAACAGGGTCATAAACAGGACAAATATACTAAACATTGCATCACATTTACAACCTAAATGGCTGAAAATGAAAAATAAAATAACAGCTTAGTCAAATCGTAGAGTTTGACCTGAAACTTTAGTAGAGTATGCAGAATATGATAAAATAAAACGACACATATGGGAGTGACTCAGCTGCTCCACACTGATAGCGCTCAATTTAATCGACCTTTGGCAGCTTTATTTTATACCCTATTTAAGTGATAACAAATGCTTCCAAGAGTTCAGACATTGTGTTATACTGCACAGGTGGTGATCTGCAATGAAATCGGCGGGATATTCAGTGTAAAGGCAAACTCACAAAAATAAAGTCATGCTGGGAGAAATGTTAGGCGAGGATCATGTTAAATCTAAAACAACACGCTGGTTACACTGTTCATATACCAGCATGTCTGCTCAAACACTACACCTATGTACTTTCCTTATCCAGAGACTCTGTTTTTATAATCCATGTCAGTAAATAAATCCATATTTGTGTGAAAGTACAATTTTCCATTAAACATGTTGTAAAAATAATCATATTTAGTATTTTATCAACCTTTCCAGCAGCAGTTAATCATCAATTATATTTTTTTTAAAGGGAGGGTTATCTGATTTTCCGAGAGCTTTATAAAACTTCTTGCCTTCACTTGCAGTGACCTTTTGACGGCCTACAAGAAGACAAAGCCATGGGGAATACAAGCAGTGAGAGGGCTGCTCTGGGCCATGGGGAGAAGGCCCAACGGAGAGACAGCCGGGGAATCAAAGACGGGGAGAGGCCCAAAATCCTCATGGACAGCCCAGAGGATGCAGATATCTTTCATGGAGAAGACATGAAGGTATACGCTGATCTTCCTATTTGACACTTTGAATTCCTGCTCCTATTATATTCAAAGTAAAAAAGTGGGGAATCTACCATAAGCATCCGTAATGTATTTCAGGCTCCTCTTGAGAAAGAGGAGTTCCTTGCATGGCAGCAGGACATTGAAGCAGAAGATAAAGACCCAGCTGTAGACAGACCAACAGTTTTTCGCTGGACAGGGGATGGAAAAGAGGTCTTCATATCGGGATCTTTTAACAACTGGGCAAATAAAATCCCCCTCATCAGAAGGTGGGGCCGTGTCCTAAACTCAGATGTTTCATCTTTTGCTCATTTTCTAATATTTTACTGCAGAGATGGATTTTGCACAATGGAAAACTATCATTAACATGTTTCAATTTTCTTTCGTCTCTCTAAGTCAGAATACATTTGTGGCAATTGTGGATCTACCTGAGGGAGAACATCAGTACAAGTTCTATGTAGATGGCCAGTGGACCCATGACCCAACAGAAGTAAGCAAGTACATCTATTGTAACTTTTCCCTTTGTGAGTTTTAACTACTTTTACAAGCCTTTTGCTATTTCAACCATTCAAATAACACATTCATCTATTTCAGGATATGATGGTTATGACCTCTGCTATATATAATTTGTAGGGCTGCAACTAACGATTATTTTGCAAATCGATTCATCTGTCGATTATTTTTAGATAAATCGATAAAGAATCAATAGCAAAAATAATTCTTACAATTAAATTAAATCAGGTGAAACTAAAACATTTCCACTTGTGAGTTCTGGATAGAGCATGTTTACATATGTAAACGTGTTTTTTTAAATCTTAAATGCTGTCAGGGTTTGGTTGAGGTTTTGAGGATTAAAATGCAAAGGCAGGGAGGCAGAGTTGAGTTCTTGTAGTTTTAATGGAGCGTTCACAAGAAACTGAGGCAGGAAGCCAGAAATCCAACGTGAAAATGTAAAACAAACAGGAACCATGGAGACATCAGGGAAAACAAGCACAAGGAACTGCACAGGTTTATATGAGAGACTGAACAAAGACAGGACTAATAAGCTGATTGGGAGCAGGTGTGAAAGCCCTTTGGGAAACTCCTCCAACTCCCATTGTCATTGTGACACAGCACACACAAGTGAACACTGCACACCATGAAATTGCATTTATGCCTCACCCGTGCAAGGGGGCAGCCCTCAATGGCGCCCCAAGGGAGCAGTGTGGCGGGACGGTACCATGCTCAGGGTACCTCAGTCATGGAGGAGGATGGGGGAGAGCGCTGGTTAATTACTCCCCCCACCAACCTGGCGGGTCAGGAGTCGAACCGGTAACCTTTGGGATCCAAGTCTGACACCCTAACCGCTCACCCACGAAGAAGAGAGGCTTCTAGAAGGAGCTAGTGAAAAAGAGACCAACACCAGAGGGCAAGCAAAGAAAAACCTAAGAACTCATATACATCCAGAAAACACCAATAAATCTAGAAAACAAAGAAAAACATGGTTTAATGTAAAATATAAATTCACAGAAAACCAAGACCATGACAAATGCAAAATATTTATATATATATTTTTTTGGTTTTGGTATAGTTATTGCTCTAAGTGCGTCATTCCTTCAGCTAAATCCATGTTTTAGAGTCTCTATACTCCAGTTAATGATTTATCAGTTACTAAATTAGTTAATGATTATTTCAATAATCAATTATCTGATTAATTGCTTCAGCCCTAATAATTTGTGGATTTTTAAAAACATTTAAATGATTTTTCAAGTAGGAGTAAATCATTTCAGTCCATCTAAAATACTGACAGAACATTTTGAATCTTCTTGAATCAACATTTTAGTTTGTTTAGCTCTTAAATTCCAAGTATTTTAATATTTTTTGCATTTGAACTATTTTAGTAATACTGCTGTAATTCTAATTTACTTCTAAGCTCAGAGCTGATCCCATCAGCTTATATATAGTGTTAACAATAGCTTTTATCAGGAAGTGCAGCTTCTCTAGTTATTTCTGCCAGTTTCCTATAGTTTTAAAGTATTTCAGAAAAAAATGCCAGTAGTTTTTTTTTTTTTTTTGTATCGTTTGTGCATTTGATTTTTTTTATTACTTTAAACAGCCTATTGTGACCAGCCAGCTTGGCACCGTTAACAACATCATCCAGGTGAAGAAAACAGACTTTGAGGTGTTCGATGCTCTGATGGTGGATTCACAGAAATCTTCTGATGTTTCAGGTGAGCGCAAACAACGGATAACAAACATTCACTATAGTAGATTAAAGTCTGAAAGCACGACTCCAACACTACGCAAACAAGTCTTGTTTTTGGCCTATTTCTTCATTAATTATTTGCTCCGGCACTTCAATAACAGTCAAGAAGTTAAACTTGGGTAGAATAAAAAGAAGAAAAGAAACAGACTGCTTTACACGAGATATTTTAAGAACTCAAATCAGACTTTTTGTTTTTAAAATCCATAATTAAAACAAGAAAAATCCATCTTCTATTTTGAGAAGACTTATTATGGAGTAACTGTTTAATAATAAATTATTTCATAAAAACTATAAGTGTAGGAAAATGTAACTTTAGTATTCATGTATTCCTTTCTCATGAGGGAGTATTTTTGAGAACAGCCTTTACTGCGTTTACAGCTGAGGTTATTTTGGTGTGTATCACTACCAGCTTTGCACGTCTAGATAATTATTTGATTATTCCCATGTGGAATAAAAAAAAAGTGAAGCTCAGTCATAAGGGCCGAGTATTTATTTATACATAAAATTCCAACCTTGGCTGAATTCTTTGAACTTGTGCTTAAAATTTCCTCTGATCACACATTTAAGGCTGCTTTCTCTGCATGCACGCTGGAAGAGTTCTGGTTGTCAGTAGCAACAGAGTACACGGCACTGTCAAGATCTGCAACTGATAGTCTGTTTCCATTTGCATCCAACTCAACAACTCCTCAGAGCTGAGATTGATCTCCGTGTGGCCGTGTCTAACATAAAGCCAAGAATACAGCTGCTTTGTTCAAACAAGCAGGGCCAGCTGTCACATTAAATGGTTGCGAAAGAAAAAAAAAAATTCTGCTTTTGAACAGGGAGGTTTTTTTTCTGTTTTAAGCTCTCAGAAACATAGATCTTTGAAATTAAACATGGGCTGTTTTCTGCTGTGTTTTGTAGCACATGCTGTTATCGTATAAAGAAATAAAAATATGCGTTATTTGTTTTCATTTTAACAGCAAACTGATAGGTCTGTTTGGACAGTTTGCCTCCTGATGCTGCGTCATTTTTTCTTTGGAAAATACCACTTTTGTTTCAAAATAAAATGATACATAGCTGAAGTAAGTTGGGGTTTGGTCGTGGTCAGGAGTGCATGTTAAATTTGGGGTTGTGACTCAAAATTAGTCAACTCTGAAACCAGCAGTTGTTGGTAGGATTTTAACCAAAGATGGACCTGCTTGTGTGATTCATATCATTGGTCTCCTGGATAAACAAGGTGCTCTTGAGCTTAAGGTTACAAACTGACCACTAATTATAGTTGGCTTTTACTCCTGGGTAGGTTCACCCTGTTCCATGTTTTCCCCGTGGCTTTCAGTAGTCCTATGAGCTTTAAAATGTCTGTAGAACCAAAATGACTGTTGCTCATTTGTTCTGGAATTAGTTTAAACTTAAGCATAGTCTTTAAGATTTTTTTAATTCATATCATCAAGATAGTTCTTTTTAAGGGTTTCCGTGGTTCTGTAGGTCAGGCATTGAAGTTTCTTGTTTTATTTAGACACAATTCTTAAAGTTTTAAGGACGATGGACACTTTTTAAAGACACTTTTTTTGCTTTAAAGGTTAATCAAACTTATAAAGAGGAAAAGTTCAGATCTTTCAGGTTTTCTATCTGTCTAATAAACCCTTTCTTCCTTTATTAGACCTGTCCAGCTCTCCCCCTGGTCCATATCATCAGGACTCTTATGTTCCTAAACAGGATGAAAAATTTAAGTCTCCGCCAATACTCCCCCCTCACCTCCTCCAAGTCATCCTCAACAAAGACACCGGAATATCTGTGAGTGGACGAGAATTATTTTGGGCTGCATTTCATTTTTATTCCTATTATAGATTTTACTGTAACAGTGAGATTTCTTTCTTTTATCTTTCTTTTTTTTGGTAAAAGATGCATTTTGCATTATTCATGCTATAAGTGCATCTAAAATAAATCTGCTTCACTGCTTTCAGTTATTTTTTTATTCTTTCTCTTATCTTCAGTGTGACCCTGCATTACTTCCAGAGCCAAATCATGTTATGCTCAATCATCTTTATGCTCTTTCAATTAAGGTAAGGTTTGTACTTGCTTGAACTGCATAAAATAATTCTCTATGTTTGATTTGTATTGTAAAATTCCCCAAGGCAGCTAAGGGAAGCAACAGAAAGAGAGGTGACGTTTTCGTCCTTTAATAAAAAAAAAAAAAAAAAAAAAATGATTTCATGCTGGAGGAATGCATTTATTATATTTATAAATAATTATAAAAAGCGTCTGGCATCCAAAAGGGAAAAACTCTGAAGGGATCCACAAAAATAACAGCTAACCTATTTTCCAGTTCAGTCACAAACTAGACCAGAAATGCCCAAACTAGATTTGCCGTAGCTGAAACAAAACACGTCTATCCAGGAATTAGTCTTGACAAAGCAGTAGGGAGAATAAACGACCAGCTGGTAATGAACCAATTCCACTCCCAGCTTTATTCTCGCTCATTAGAGGCAAAGTGGAATCAGCCTTACACTGTTTGCTGCAGAAATCCCACAGCAGCAGAATGACTCAGGGGGAGGAGAACCCACTCCTACTCCTGACATGTATACTCACCTGATGTGGGAAACCTTTGTGAGAAATGACCAGATTTTATGAGTTTTTTCCAGAAAGTGTAAACTGCTACCATGCATAGCGGCATATGCACACTGTCTGCAGAGCGGATCGTTCTGTATCTGTGGAATGCCAGAAGCGATAAGAAGCTGGCATAAGGAGAGCAGGCTGAAGGACAGATAATTACCCTTGTTGCAACACTCCAAGTGGAAAAACAACCAGAATGTGTTTGCCAATACATACATAGAGACAGCAGTCAGAGACTTAATGCAAAAAAAGAACAAACAAGCAGAAGTCTCATGGTAGATGTTAAACAAGAGAATCCGTTAAAACTAGAGTTTTGTTAATAAGCTTTTGACCGTATAAAAAAATGGCCTGAAATATTTAGAGTTTTGTTTGGTTTAATTTATTTCATAATGGATTAGCTTTTCCTATATTTGTGGCATTAAAGCCACATATCTATATCCATTACGCTGCTTTTGAGTGATGAACAAAGGTAAAAAAAAAAAAAAAAATGGATTGTTATGTAGAAGCAACAGATAGTGAGCTCTGATCATTATTGCTGCCCTAAAATATTTTTTTATGAACTATGGCGAACTTGTACTTGCAGTTTTTACCACAAACCTTAAAAACTCTTTCTATCCACTTTCATCTGCTATGAACAGCAGCACAAAGTCCCCCACAGGCTGCGGGTAGCAGAGAGCTGCTAGCAGGGATTTCCAGAAGAACTGGATATTTTAGTGGGATCATAATCCTGATAAACTGACAGCACAGATGATGTTTGGATTTTCTCCCTTAAAAACTTGTTAAAATTACTTTTCCAACACATAAAGTACATAAAGCTTGGCTGTTCTCTAGCTTGAAGCTACAAAAGAGAGAAGATAAACAACCAGAGCGTTGAAGCATCAAAGCAACTTGATCCAGCATTTTATAAGGCCCCTAACGCCTTCGGTGCGAACACAGTATAAGGTTCCACTGTAAACTTAAAAGGACATGGCTATCTTATGAACAGATAGATTCAGCATTCTTAAGAGAGATCAACAGGTGCATTGTAGCCTTGAAGGACCTGCAGAGATCTCCAGCTCAGGTGTGAAAATCAAAGGACAGGAAGACTCCCAGCTCTTTATGAAATGCCATTAGAGGTGAAAGTCCATATGGGTAGCAGGTGTTTGCAGTGTGGGATATGCACTATAGGCAAGAGAGAAAACAAAAGGAAACTGTGCAGAATTTACATATGCAAGAGAAATGATTTATATGATTTTCATAAATGAAAATTAAAACACCCAGAATGCATTTATATTCATCCTCAATCACTAAGATACGCCTGAATAAAATGCAGAGATACTCACTATTGCAAATTGAAAATATGTTGCAAGACTAGAAATTTGATCTTCACAGCCACTGACTTAAATTTAGATATTTTGTACATTATAGTGGAATGGTAGAACGTTTAGTGTCTAGATTATCAAACCTTATAGAGACGTACGCCGAAGCACTTGAAGTCATACTGAAAGCTAAAGATGGTTCTACAAAGTATTGACAGAGAAAATATTTTCACAATTTTCACAACCTGGCAGAAACAGTCTTCTTGGATGAATAACCATTGGTCAAGAGTTGTAAGCATACGCCCAAGTTGTAAAAGGATCACACCAGGTGTATGCTCTTAAACAGTTTTTTTGGGGGGAGTGGCGGCCTATTGGTTAGGACATAGAGCTTGGAATCCTGAGGTTCCTGGTTCAAGCCCCACTCCCACAGACTGCCACTCTGGTCCATGAGCGAAAAGACCCTTAACCTCACACTGCTCCAGAAGGGGATGGGTTAAATGCAGAGGGTTGATGTTGTTGCTTTGTACTTGTGATAGCGTAATGACAGTAAAAGCTGAAAAAACAAAAAGAAAACATTTCCTTCATTAACAATGCAGTATCACACCAATGTCTCATAACATTTTAGTAAAATTCACTCAAATTCGTCATCATGACATGACATAATTTTAGGAAGTTCAGGGGTAAAAAATCTTTCATACTCCTGAGGAACTGGTTGATTAGAACTGTTTTCATTGCATTGTACTGGAAATGCAATGCTTTAACAGATCTTTCCTATTTGTTGTCTTTATTTTGTCACAGGATGGGGTGATGGTCCTGAGTGCGACACATCGCTATAAGAAGAAGTATGTCACTACTTTATTGTATAAACCCATCTGATGGACTCCTGTTCCCCTCAGCAGTGTGTGTGCTAACTGTACACCAAGTGTGCAAGATATTTCTTCCAAGCTTTTCTTTTTCTTCCATGGAATATGAAATTAGACAAAACTTGTCTTATACCCAGTGCTGTTGTTACCTTTTTACTCTAAGTTGAGTTGAGATGAAGGAAGGACTTAGAAATATTTGATTTTTATAAAATGTAAACATAATCACTCCCACAAATGTTAATGCTTTTCAGTTAGAAAGATAAGATAGTATGGATAATGATATTTTATATAAATATGCTTTGAGAGGTCATATTATTTATGACATCATCTTATGCTTTATCGATTTCTGAGATTAGCAACGCTATATTCTGTTATAGCTGAACTTGTTACAGAGGTGCTTTAAAATGTATATGAAATCAGTTCAACATAAATTATTAAAGCACAACCTCTTTTTTTTTCCTTTCAAAGAGTTTTGAATCCTGAGGCTAGCATTTAATCAAAAGGAGAAATCGATGTGTCAGTGTTTTCAATCTATGGGAAAACAGACAGGTACAGATTGGCATAATGAAGGAACATCAAAGTCTTCACAAGCAGCAAAGTAGATTACTTAGAACCTTAGACTGAGAGTTGTTCAATCTTAGGCTAAAGCCTCTGATCTGTTTTTTTTTGTATCACTTCTATACTCCACTGACTTAAGAATTGTGAGCAATCGGCCATTTCTACTGACTTGGATCCAGCCCCCTCAAAAGTAAGAATCCAATACCTTCGGAAAGAAGCCATGCGTAGGTTGAATGCTCAAAGCAACACAGTGAGCAATACTGCGAAGGTTGCACAAAGTAAACCCACTATTCTCCAAAGAGATTATTGCTTGTTTGTGCTGTTTGTTAAAATTTGCATTGACACATAAAATATAAAACCGTATAGTTTAAAGACAATATTCCCTCTGCTTGAGAATAGAAAGGAAAGAAAAACCAAAACAGATGATTCATCGACAAACTGAGAAAAATGAAGAAACCTGTCTTTCCATTTTGTTTAATATGGCTCATCAAGCTTTATAAAACAATAAATGCTGAAACACCTAAAAGGAATCAACAAACACATTTAGCTTTTATCCAAGCACCTCTTTTTCTTACCAAAAAATATTATTTTTAAATATGGTAAATGAAAACTCAATGTAAAAGGCTAATTACATTATTAAAAAAACAATGGCTCATTTTCTAGCTTCATTGGGTACAAACACTCTTGTAGTGTTTTGAACCTTATATATCTAGTCAAAGCATCTACCTATGATAATAAATGTACCACATATTGAGTTCCTCTTTCTCAAGCCTTTATTTGTACTTTGATTTATGGGAGTATGTTGCTTTCGAGGATAGGAATGCAATAAGAATTTGGTTGAACACTGAATTGTTTTTTTTTTTATCAAAACAAATAACGAAATTAAATCATGCTGATAGAAATATCTATAAATTAGGTTACTGTTTTCTTTCCCATGGTTGAGAAGACAAAAGTTACCAATCAAGAATATTAACCCTTTTTGTTATAGACTGAAAATATGCACTGAGGTACAGTGTGCTCTTCTGCTGTTTATTTTGATTGTGAAATGTAACATAAAGAAGAGAGTTAATATATTTTATAGAGTATTTAGAGCTTATCTTCTATTTAAATCCTAGTTGGTGTCATTAATTTTATTGATCCAGGATATTTATATTATGTTGATTGCCTTGATTGGTAAAAACCATTCCACTTGATTTGATGTTGGATATTTGCACTGATAACATGACAATGTATCACATTTTAACTTCTGCATGATGAAGAGATTAAATGAGATAATATAAAAATTTTGAAATGTCTTTTGTTAAGAATAATAAATATTTCCTATTTAAAGTTTACTATCCAGTATCCAGTTTATTAGCGATCAGATAAATATTTCCTTTTATAGTATATCAGACAACTGATTATTCAGATTAGTAAGTAAGTAATCATGTAAATAGCTAATAATAGCTAAACTATGTGGCTGCAATGTTGAAGAAGTCGTACAATAGGATGTCATAATCAAACCTTTTTATTCTATTGGCTGAAAGATTGAGAAGTTGGGGTTAAGAGCAGAAAAAATATATAAATGGAGTTAGTGCCCTGGAGAATTCATTGTCAGATTGTTCCACCGTAAGAGCTAAATTCAAGAACGCACACATACTGGCTTAAACATGTATATCAATGTACTCTTTATGAGACGATTTTGTCCCAAAAGTTAGAAAATTTCTACTTCGAAAAAAGATCCTGCCTTGATAATCTGTGTATTATTTCCTTATCTTATGCAGGCCAGTTTGTTATATGTCAGCTTGTACACCTAAATTTGGCCAATCATATATCGGTCAATCAAATTTTTTCTGGTCATAGCATCTTGATTCATGTGTTGCAGCTAATATACAGAACAGTTGAAACAAGAATAATTTACCCTTGAGTTACGTCCCAGTGTTCACGGGAATGGGCATCTGTGTCTTCTACAGGCGTAGAGCTAACGGAACTGGCAGCGTTGCAAGGCAAGGGCTCAAACATGTACAGCCTTCTAAACCAAACAAAGTTTCTGCCACCCTGGTGTCCTCTTCCGCAACAACTTTGTCCCCGATTTCCTACTCTAAATAAAAAATGTATGACGGGGGAGACTCATCCACGACCTCTGACACAAAAAATGTCCTCCTCTTGCATGTTTCCGCTGTCCATAGCTTTCCTTGACAGTGTCGTTAAGTACTACTTGGTTCCAATGGAGTTTCCCATTGGGAACCTACTAGCACTAAGTTGCTAACTGGTTAGCAAGATGCTTCCGACAAACCGGCCACAACCAAACATGCTTGCGAGACTTCCGCCAAAACAATCCCGCCCCCTTGATAAACATTCACTTTATGCACTCGTGTAATGTCGGGCATCACTCGGGAGAATTCGGAAATACGTACGTACGACGTCTCCCTCCAAAGCTTCTCCAACTCCAGGCCATTGTGATTAAAAAACTGGCTCCCACAACGTCCACATCACCTTTCTTGCCAAGTGATTACCAAGTTTGTTTATATAGATACAGTAATAAATCTCATTTCATTAGTCTGTGTAGGATATAGATCTTATAAAGGCCTAAGATAGCAAATATACCCGCTATTTGTGCCACATTATTGTCATGTTTTAGTGAGCTACTTAGCATAGCCCTTTAAACAGACTAAGTTATTTTAGTTGCTTAGTATAATTGTGAGATTGCATTGGTTTGAAGCATACTTATACCCCTTTTATGGAGTCTAAATCTTGAGTGTGACATGGGGATGTGGTGGGCGGTGGTGGTGTGCAACCAGGGCAAGACGAGGAAGAGGTACCTGCTTGAAGACGAGCCAATGAGGCAAGATCTGAAGCTGTTCAAAGGAGCCGGAGAGGATTAACAGGAGTATCATTTCAAACTTTTACACTTTTCTCAGTAACATTCAAGGATAATGACAATCTTTCATAGAAGATTGTATCAGATTTACCCCACATTGTTAAAATGTTGATTTTGACTGCAAGTAATAAACAGTTTGGTGTGGTCTAGTCAGAGTTTGAATTTGAATTTAGTGTTTAATCTTTTGAGGGTAATAAGAATTAGGTTGATATCAAGGAGGCCTTCCTGAAGCAAGGGCTTCATTGCAAAAGAGGAGGAGTCAGAAACAGCCTTGGCTATGCCAAAACCTTATATGAACTACAAAATGCAAATAATTGCTGTATCAAATCATCAGCTTTTTATATAGAGAGCCACATCACAACACATATCATCTCAAGGCATTTACAGCATCAATTCAATCAATCATACAAATAGAAACCCTGCAGATTTCATCAAGTCATTGATATAGCTTTCGTTTGACAATGTTAAATTTTTCATGTAAATAAAAAAATTAATGGGTAATAGCACTGCTGCCTTGCAGCAACGCGGTTCCGGGTTCAATTGCTGACCCGGGTTCTTTCTGCATGGAGTTTGCATGTTTTCCCTGCACATGCGTGGGTTCTCTCTGGGTACCCCGGCTTCCTTCCACAGTCCAAAAATAAACAAAACATGACTGTTAGGTAAATTGGCTGCTCTAAATTCTCCTTAGGTGTGACTGTGTGTGAATGGTTGTTTGTCCTGTTTGTCTCTATGTTGTCCTGCAATGGTCTGGCGACCTGTAATTCTGGTTTTAAGGTATTTTTCCTAAATAAGCTTTCCAGTTAACACTGAAACTCTTTTAAATTAGAAGAATTAGGCATGACATGTAATAAAATGTTGGTCCAAACTGAGGGTTAGTGTTAGGGATCCAAGCCCACTCTGTGAGAATCCATTTTAACCATGACACATGCTAGTTTTGTGTTGGGTGTCAGAGTGCGTGTGATCCTTTGGTGTATGGACAGCTGACATCCAAGGACCCACACATACAGGATCTACATAAAAGGCAGTTTAACGTTGAGTGAAAGTCACTCTGGCACCGAACCCTCTCACTCACAGGATGAATGCTTTTCAGACTGTCTTCCTCTTGGTTCTTGGTCTCTCTGTAGGTGAGTAAAACCTTCCACATATTGTGACATTGCTTAAATATATCTAGTCGATTTGTAAATATGCAATATAAAACTTTCTCTGCAATAGCTCTTTAGAGCCTTGTGTGACTCATTGTTGAACCACCTTTTTTTCTTTTCTGTGATCACAGTCACAGCAAGTCCCGAAAATGATTTATTTCTATCTTGTCAGAGTCTATCTCTGCCGGAATGTGAAGTATTTATTTAAGAGTGGGGCACACAGTGGAGTAGTGGATAAGCATGTTGCCTTGCAGCAATAAGGTTCTTGGTTTGATTCCTTGTCTTTCTGCCTGGAGTTTGCATGTTCTCTCCGGGTACTCCGGCTTCCTGCCACTGTTCAAAAACATAACTGTTGGGTTAATTGGCTTCTCTATATTGATATTATGTGTGTGGATGCATGGTTGTTTGTCTTTGTGTGTTTCTGTGTTACCCTGTAATAGACTGCAGAGCTGTCCAAGGTGTACCACACCTCTCGCTTAGAGACTGCCGAAGATCCCTGACGAGGACTAAGCGAGAGAAGATGGATGGATGGATGGTTTAAGAGCTAAATCTGTTTTGCTGCCTTCTACCCCTTTTCTTTTAGGATTGCCCTGTATTTAGCCCAGTTCATATTCATATTAACTGTGAACAGCCTCTGAGTTCATGTGAAGATAAGCATCCCTATAACATAATGCTGATACCCTCATGTTTTGTTTTTTAAACAAAAAGAAATGTTGAATATATATATATATATATATATATATATATATATATATATATATATATATATATATATATATATATATATATATATATATATATATATATATTCTAAAGATAAAAACAACATTAAGTTGTTTGTAGGTCAAGACTACATACTTATAATTTGATTCGTTTGTGATTGGTTGTACTGAATTGTATGGCCCTTCCCAGTCAAAAGGCAGCGGAATGGCAGCAAAATCCCCTCCAACTTCAAGCCACTGGCCTTCTCCTGGCCGTGCATATTTTTTTAACCTGACTCCACCCTTTCACTGAATTACAAGGTCTGACCAGGAGATTATGCTTTTCTTTAGATCTTAATGTCCAAAAATCATGACGGAAAGAATTTTTAGATGGCTACTACTGTATCTTTTAACTCTTCATTAGTATGTTATTCTTATACATTTTTTCTAAGGTCCACATTTATGTGACCATTGTTTTCTATAATCTCTTTGCTGCTGTAAACACCATAATTTCCCCATTGTGGGACAATAAAGGGAATTTCTATTCTATTAGTACAAGAGGATAAAAACTGTTGAACACCATGTTTTCCTACAATTCCTACAAAATGTGTCGTAACATTGTTACTTCCACTAATAGATAAAATACAGATAAATTTGTTGTGGTTTTGTGAATAAATGTAAAAATCTGAAAACGTCATGATAATTGCTCCTACTACACTTATACACATTTAAGTTTAAATCATAACATGATATGTTTCTGCAGCCCAATCTTTGGACTACAGGGCTCTCCAGCAATTCAGAAATATGATCCTGTGCATGATGCCCGATAGCTGGCCTGTTTTTGACTACGCAGACTATGGCTGCTACTGTGGCTACGGGGGATCTGGCACACCTGTAGATGATCTGGATAGGTAATTATTTAAGCCTCTTTTAGTAGCAATTGATAGAGAAAAAAAAAACTGAAGTTTGTATTAAAACATTTCTTCACCTTTTGTATTACCATGAAGGTGTTGCCAGGTTCATGACCAGTGTTACAGTGATGCTATGCAACATCCTGAGTGCTGGCCCATCCTGGACAACCCTTACACGGAGCTCTATGACTACACCTGTGATGAAAGTAATAGAAAGATCACCTGTACAAGTAAGTTGGATTGATGTTTTAATCACTCACACCCTAGTTGAACAGTTCAGTCCATCCTCTCAGAGGAGAGCGGGATCCCTGCCAAACGAGCTGCGGCGCAGAGCCGCCCAGTTTTACTCTGATTCAGCAACCTCAGTAAACAGGCAGGAATGTGATCCAGGTCAGGGAAGACAGATCAGACAGGACAGTTGAGGAATCCAGAAGTCCGCACGCAGCCCAGTCAGGGGTTCTGATCCTCACAGGAACAGAACAGATCCAGCGTTCCAGGAATCCACAGAGCGTGAAGGCAGGTTCAGAGTTCCATGAGTCCAGCAGCAAGCTCAGACAGAAACGCACAGATGCAGACAGGCAGGCTCAGCACTTTAGGGAAAGAGACAAGACATGGTACCAGGATTACTGTGAAACTTAAAACTGGTCTCCACCTAGGAGCCAGAACCGATCAAGAGATGACAAGACAAACACTAAAAGCCTCTCAAACCACTGGCCTCTGGGTACAGGAACATGAACCAAGGAATAAACTAAAACTAACGAAACAAACGTACTACAAACTTCAAACAATGATCTGGCCACGATAGCTGAACTGAGCCAAATATAAAGGAAAAGATGCAGGTGGATAAGATGAGCTTGCAGGTCGTGCAGTGGTTAGTGCGCACGACCCATGTGCGGAGGCCTTACTCCTCGACGTGGCTGACCTGGGTACAAATCCAGCCTGTGGTTCTCTGCCGCATGTCTCTCCTCCTCTCTCATACCCCCTTTCCTGTCAGCCAACTGTCAGAAGTGCCATAAAAACACACACAAAAAAAGTTAGGCAGGTGAATGAAGTGAATAATTAAAGTCAGTTTTCAGGGTAGATTTTAAGCTTCCTCTCAATCGGAACAGGGAAAGCTCTTCAATTTTTGTTCGTTCTGCTTTTTGTTGTTTGTTTGTAATGTAATTACTTTTATTTTTTTATTGTCATTCTGATATTTTCTGACTTTAAAGCACAAACATGTATACAAACAGTCCACTGTAAAAGTGATAATTAAGTAGTTTTCCAGATTCGCTAAAGCCTAGAAAAATTGCCTTTATTGCTTTTTTAAGTGCTGATATATCGTCAATATTTATTTTGTTTTTTTTATTATCCATTGTGTTTACACTATACCAAAAATAAACAACAAAAAGTAATCTGTAAGGACACCTGATATAGCTGCCTTTTATTAGTAAACAGTGCATCCATCTTGAATTTATATACGTATCTAAATTTTAATGACTCCATTCAAAGACAAGTCTCACTTCTAGCTTCAGCTAGAAGTTAGCAGCTCTCCCATTGCATTATTTTATAGTAGTGCCTGCTTATGTTCAAATAATAAAAACTTAAACCTATTTTTTACTTCTTTAGAGAGTAACGATGAATGTGAGATGTTCATCTGTGAGTGTGACCGGAAAGCCGCGGAGTGTTTTAGCAGATCGCAGTGGATCCCCGAACATGAGCACCTGCCAAGTGACCGGTGCCAGTAGAGTCAACAACCAGCTGCATCAAGCAAAGAAGCTGTCCCTCAACATGTCACATCCATTTACAGACTCAGATAACGACAGATTGGGTCTCATTCTGGACTTACACATTTACTAGTGATATAATTTAGGCACAGCCTTGTATCCATCCATCCTTTCTTTATGCTAGATGTTTCTGGCTTGGCTAACAACTATTATATTGTAACTCATCCTAAATGTCAACCAATTGTTTACACTTTTGTGATATTCAGTGTGATTCTTCCACAGTCAACAGAGGGTGCTGTTCTTTATCTTTGACTGTAGCGTTCAGGAAGACAGGTTTGTTCCACGGCAGGTGTTCTCTTCACTTTATGTAACATTAGAAAAAAAATAAAATAAAGGAAAAAGACTGTTGTTTTTTTCTTTTTGCCTAAATCCAATTTATGACATAATGTTGGCAGTGGAGGTCAGTTACAAAACATTTGGAATAATATTAAATAAGTTTCTCTTAATTAAAAAAAACAGCCTGAACTTTATCTTTGTTTAAACTGACAACAAACTGTGGGAGGTTAATTCAAATTTTATTTACTGTCAACATTTGAATCATAAATTTAGAGCAATAAAAGGAGGAATGTCGATTCCAGCTGAAAGAATGATTTTGGTCACTATCCAGTCTATTTGGCAAACAGAAAAATTAACTCACTGTTACGTATTGTCTCTTAAGATTGCTAGTGTTTCACCTGTTTTAACAACCCACCCCTGCTTTCTGTGATTCAGTGCTGGGCCTGCAGCCCACTGATTCACTCTTCAGGCAGTTTCTCAGACAATGCGTAAGCTCAGCAGCTGGTAGCTGCCTTCTGGCAATGGACCAACTGAGGCTCCTGTTTGTTGAAAGATAAAATGAGGATAATAACACACATTGACAAAAAGAGATAATAGGCCAGGGAAAGTTTCACTAGTTACGCCTTATGTGTGTGTTTTGCTGTTATGGCAACCCAAAGTGTCAGTACTAGTAGTACTAGTTTCAATACTACCGATTGCACAGTGCTCCTTGGGATGTTTAAAGCTTGGGAAATCTTTTTGTATACAAATACAGCTTTAAACTTCTCCATGACAGTATCTTGAACCTGCGTGGTGTGTTCCTTGCTCTTCATGATGCTCGCTGCAATGTAAACAGACCTCTGAGACCAGTGCATGAAGGCGTTCAATGAACAGCGTTCACTGAATACGTTCATATTTTTAGTGAACAGTGAACTGAACAGATCAGCTTTGAAGTACTAAAGGTGAATGAGAGAAACCTTCTCTCTGAGAATAATGAGCGACACACACAGCTAATGTTCAGTTGATAACAGCACTTTTCATTCGATAACGTCCGGTTCTATGGCACTTATTACAACAAACAGCATGACAGACCAGCATGTCTACTGCTAGTAGTCTGTGCGATTCGGGCTAATCTAGTGGTACTTCTGAGGCTAGTTTTGCAGAACGCTTTGCAGAGTTTTATGAACTAATGAAGGAAGGCAGACATTTGACATGTGAATGTACAAAACAAGAAACACTTCTTGTGCAAACTCTGCCCATCGGGTCCTTTTACCTCAGCCATTGCCACTACAAACTTTAAGCGACACATCAAGTTAATATATACAACCTATCTTGGGAAATATCTGGTACTGAATGAGGAATGTAAGAAAACACTTGATACAGTTCTTTTCAACAGAATCCTGTTAAAAGGGAGTTTTTTCTCTCCACTGTCACTACAAGCATTCTAAGTGTGAGGGATTGCCTTCAAGTCAGTGAGTCAATGCAATCAACTGGTTTTCCTTAGATAGAAAACTTAATTTGACTGCATCATCAGGTGAACTGTAAAGTGCCTTGAGATGACATGTGTTGTGAATTGGCGCTATATACATAAACTGAATTGAACATTTACCAATTATCATTACAGGATCTTTGTATCGACTTCCATTCCATTCCCATCAATTTCTATGGCCTAACCCAGACCCTTACTCTAACTGTTTCTAACAAATAACATATTTTACACCTAAGTGCTAAACCTAACCCCCAAACCCGAGAAGAAAATCTTTCCACATGTGGAACAGTAAGCCACCAGTTCCCAAAAGTACCTGTAAGTCCCCACAGTCAAAGGGTAGTTAATACTTAGCCCTACATACCCACACATACACACACAGACACACACACTCACCCAGTGTTGGGTAAGTTACTTTAAAAATGTAATCCGTTACAGTTAAGAGTTACTTTGTTTAAAATGTAATTGTAGTGTAACTTTTTTGATTACTTTTAAAAAGTAATGTAACTAATTACTTTGAATTACGTTTTGATTACTTTAAGGTTTTAATGAGTATTGACCCATGTTCAACATTAAATTTTTGAGAACTGAATGTGAACCTTAAAAAAGCACTAAGCTGAGAGGGAACTGCTGACAGGCAATCACAGGATGTCCACAAGAAGAGATGCTTCGTCTATCAGTGAGTTGCACTTACCTCTAAATGTTTCCTCAGGATTGACATAGATTGCTTCGACGTGGACAAGTTCTTGATAGCCGGCAAACACTTCTTTCACTGCACGGTTAAATTTGATCCATTTTCACAGATGTAAATGAAATGCTCCCTAAATTTTTAGGGCTGGAAGGCTGTCATTTTTGATGCGCTCCTTGAGCTGAAATAGAACCGTCCGCTCGCTTGCTGTTCCTCAAGGAGGCTACACCAGCACAAGATGGATCATCAGAGTGGCAAATATGATAGAGACAAGGAGTCGTAGAGGGAAACGGCGATACAGGGCGCGAAGCAATAAAAATATCATTACATATTTCGCAAAGGTTTTTCTTTATATTTAAAAAAAAAATGTAACTAAATTTGTTATTCTTAATATTTTCGGAAGTAACTGCAACTGAATTGCATATTTACTCATTGTAACTGTAACGAATTACAGTTACTCTTTTTTTGTAATTAAATTACGTAACGTCGTTACATGTAATCCGTTACTCCCCAACACTGCACACACCTAAGCACAGATTAGAGACACCAGTTTACCCTATGATCATGTTTTTAGACTGTGGGTGGAAGCCATATTTATTGGAGAGAACCAACACATGCACAGGAAATACATAAAAAAAGCTTCAAAGTGTAAGTCTTTACTCTAGCTTAAAAGTTCCCACAGTACATGAGATGTGTACTTGCTTTCCGTTGGTATAAAAGGACATACTGATCCACATTCCATGTTTGAAGGAAATGGTTTCATCAGACAGTGGTTTTCCTGTCACAACAAGACAGGGAAAAATTCTTCTGTGAGACACTAAAGATTTATTTAGTCATGTTTTCTGACTCCTGCAGATCTCTTTGTGGTAAAGTTGCAGTTGAACTTTTTTCTGCAACATTGATTACTGTTTTATGGGAAATATGCAGATTTTGTCAATTCTTCATTTACTTTAAGCTTGACATCAGACTACATAGTATATATTAATTATATTTATCTACATTTTACATTTCATTTTCTTCTCCTTCATCTATTGTGTCACAATATGTAATGTATATTTTTTCTGTTTTATTGTCTCCGATTTTGTTGTTCTACAAAACTCTAATTGTCTTGTCACTGAAATGCACTATGCAAATTAATTGCCCAGCCTATTGTCCTCACAAACCATGCTATCACCATTTTTGTAGGTCTTTTTGCTTTCAGAGTAAGGATTCTTCATATATATTTTCCCTCATGTACAACATACCCGTGACTTTTATTTTTTTATATTATAAATTTTAATTTCACCTCAATTCAAATTAATGAATGTAAACCTTTAAAATTTTTAAACATACAGTAGTGTGTGCCTCCCTATTTTTTATGACCTTTGAGTTGGGAAATTACAAACATATTTCAAGTCAACAAATCCACATGGCTATAAAAAGTGTTCATTTGGCTCACATTAAATGAAAAGTATTTGCACCCTTTTTTTTTTACCTAAATCAAAACTCATAGTAATTTATGACTTGATGGATCCATGGAACTAAGCTTTATGCCACCTCCTATCTTCTTTCTTTCTGTCAGGTAAATTCAATTCAGTTAAAAAAATTATTTATTGATCCCCAAGAGGGAAATCCAGTTTCGGTACAGAAAGAAAACAAAAAGATAGAGAAGACAAAACACAGACATTTTACATGGGGGAACGCAGTGTCCGAGGCCTTGCTGGCGTCAAAGGCACTGCCCATACAGTTAAGATAAAGGAAGACAAAGGGATCACAATGGGAAAGAGGAGTACAAAAATATCCGATTTCACACTTCATCCTCAGCAGGATGCAGTCTGAGAATGCAAAAAATCTCAGCAAAAAAAATAGCGACATAGATACAACACATCTTGCAAGGAGGTAAGGCGAACTGTGAACTCATTACTATATACACATTTTTGGATATATAGTTGCATGAAGAATAAATAAGAATAACTTATTGTAAAATATATTCAGTAAAAGAAATTTAGTAGGCATAAAAAATCTGCAGTAAGTGGTGGCTGGCTACAAGGACTGTGGTAATTAATCTTCAGTAAATGAATTTGATAGCAACAGCGTAACAACCCCACAGTACTTGTGTTTACAGAGGGATTATATTCTTGACTTGCACTAGTGCCCGAGGTATGCCCCTGTGACATTGTTTTTAATTTGTGTGTAGGAGTGTGATGGCCAGTTCTTGTAGTGTTTAAAGATCTATATACCTAGTTATAACTTATTTCCTGAATAAATTTGTGAAATTCTCATAACTAACAGTATTCCCTTTTATAGCACCCAGTAGCTTAAGTCACACATGCTCTATATTTGGATCTGTTCTGGAAAAAGCTTTTTGAAAAGGTTGAGACTACTGGATTAAAAAAACAATTGCATTCAAATAGCTACATGAATGCAACAATGAATTTACTCAAATTATAGCTTGTTAAAAAAGAGGCCTTCCTGCATCAAACAACTTCAGGTGAGTTTCAAAAATCTATTGAAAAACACAGTGAAGTTCAAAGACCACTGATTGTTCATGAATCAGGATATAATTGTGTAGTCATCACAACCACTTCTGTGAACTTTGTCTTGTGACTGTAGATTTTATGTGTTTTAATTATAATATGCATTTGCGGATCTTGTCCCGTGCATGTGAGGATTATGCTGTGCATGTATGGATTGTCCTGCTAATATTGGGATTAAGTAAATGAGGTTGTTAATATTGAGACTCTTCTGACTCCATACGTACATTTAGTATTGCCTCCTGAAGTTAAGCTAATGCAGTCTGTTCTGTTTCTATAGCCAATCTGCAACCCCTGTCCTGGAGTAAACCTTCTCGATTAAGACATATAAATATATGGAATATATTGCAACAACTACATTAGAACATACAATTTCAGTAGCAACAAAAATTAGCTTCAGATTGCA